CCCTCCAAATTCTCTTTTTTTTTCCTCTCTTTAAAGCACTTTGATGATTGCTTAAGAGATGACTGTACATTCATTTCTTCTATTATGAGATGTGGTTTTCCCCTACCTACGATGTGGTACATCTTACTCTAGATGTTAACATCATTTCTTAGTGGATTTTGATCTTCTAGTAGAAAGTCAATCCCCTACCTCCTTTAGCAATATAATTTCCCATTAAGAGTTTACCCTTAGCTACAAGGGTGACCTTTTTGGATATGTAGATGTTGCTTGCACTTCTTACAGGGTCCCATCAGTTAGCATGGGTGTTATCACTGTGATTTCTTCTAGTGATCATTGATCCTTAATATGATTGTGGTTCTTAGTGGCAAGTGTGTCCCCTTGTCACTTCTGTCGCTCTTTCCTTTGATATGATGTTATTCTTTCTACTTGGCTGTTTGAATGTTCCTCCTTTGGAGAGAGACGTACATCAGCTGATTACTCCATGTTATATATGATTTCAATTTACCTAAGAAAATTTCACTTGTATTTTAAATATTCATGGCCACGACGATTTGTCCTCTACCATTTGGTAACTAAAATATGAGCTTGAGATTTCTTAGATGATGAATTACTTACCTCTTTGTTTTTCTCACAGCACCATGCACATGTGCGTTGGGGGGTTGTTGAGTTTTCGCTTTATTCTACCGACAGACCTATGGTCGGGTAGAGACTTCGCTGTTTCGGGGCCTATGGCCGAGCGGAGGTGTTTTCTTTCCTGTCCTTCACCGACAGACCTATGGTCGGGTGATTGTTGAGCTTCCCTTTATTCTACTGACAGACCTATGGTCGGGTAGAGAATTTGCTATCGGGCCTATGGCCGAGCAAAGGTGGATCTTTTCTCTTCATCCTATCGACAGACCTATGGCCGGATAGATGTTGAGCTTCCCGTTTTGTCCCATCGACAGACCTATGGTCGGGTGGACATCGGGCTTTTGGTTGGTTACCCGTCAGAGTCCCTGGGGGGTACACTTCACCACTTCTTCATTCCCCCTGTTTCCTTTTACCCATTAGGGGGTTGTTGAGTTTTTTTGCTTTGTCTTACCGACAGACCTATGGTCGGGTAAGGACCTCGCTGTTTCGGGGCCTATGGCCGAGCGAGGGTGTTTCTTATCTCTTCACCGACAGACCGATGGTCGGGAGACTGTTCTTCTACCGACAGACCTATGGTCGGGTAGAAACCTTGCTGTTTTGGGGCCTATGGCCTAGCGAGGGTGTTTCTTTTTCTCTTCACCGACAGACTGATGGACAGACCGATGGTCGGGTGACTGTTCTTCTACCGACAGACCTATGGTCGGGTAGAAACCTTGCTGTTTCGGGGCCTATGGCCGAGCGAGGGTGTTTCTTTTTCTCTTCACCGATAGACCTATGGTCGGGTGACTGTTCTTCTACCGACAGACCTATGGTCGGGTAGGAACCTTGATGTTTCAGGGCCTATGGCCGAGCGAGGGTGTTTCTTTTCCTCTTCACCGACAGACCTATGGTCGGGTGACTGTTCCTCTACCGACAGACCTATGGTCGGGTAAGAACTTCGCTGTTTCGTGGCCAATGGCCGAGCGAAGGTGCTTTCTTTGTCCCTTTCTTATCACCGTCGGACCGATGGTCGGGTGATTGTTGATTTTTTTTTTCTCTCACCCTTTGACTTATGTTTAAGTGATTATTGAATTCCCTTCTCTTCTCATCATCTTAGATTTGTTCTCTAGATGATCGTTGAATTTCCTTTGGACTCTTATGAGCTTGTTTCATTTCTACTCATGTGAGCATGAGATTTCCTTCTCCTATTCTACCACTTTGGTTGGGCAGATGGGGATTCACTTTCTTTAGCTTCTCTTTGTTGATCTGGTTCCGTTAGTTGGCCATAAAGTTGCATCTCCCTGGAGTTAGGGAGGTCAACGCCAACACGTACGGTTCACTTGTTGTTCGCCGCACCTGTTGGGGGTCTGTTTGTTGACCTCAATTTTTGTTCGAGTGCACTCGAGCACATTCGATCAATGCAA